GCTCCAAAAGTCCATACTCAGTTTGGATGGTTTTCTTTGTTAAAGCTTTTTAGCTTGATCATAAATCTATAGGTTTCTCTTTTATTAATTTGTTAAAATTCCCAATAAATATTATTTTAGAAGCTATACATATATCATTGTTTGTAAAGGAATGGGAAAAAAAATCTCGATCTACATTTATAACACTTGTTTTAGTTCATATTTCACAAAAACTTCAATGAAATTTTTATCTATGAACATACTTCTGTTTTCTCATCATCGATAATATTACGTAATTTTTGAATAGTAAATTCACAGTATTGACAAATATTATCATTTGGTTTCTTTTCAATTGATTGTTGTGACCAAATTTTATTTGAACAATGATCTATTGAACTACATTCACGTGAATTACTTAACGATGAACACCAATAAGATGGACCCCATGTACATCGATTTTGTCCAAGAATAACTATATATTAAATAACAAAATATTAATTCGAAAATGAATTTATCAATTATTTACTTGGTTTTTCAGTCGATGGAGGTTCTGTTACTGGTTCATCCGAACAAATACTCATCAAATGACATAATGTAGCATAACGCTAGAAAAAACAAATATTACAAGACAATTTATTTGAAATTTCCTGTTTTTGTTTTTACTTTATGTTTCATTAATGAAGCAACTGGTGTTCCATAATTTTCAACAGTATGTGTGCACTATAAATAAAAGAAAAAAATTCAATCATCAAAATATTCATTTCATTTTTTTTTTGTTTACTTTTGATGAAACACTTTGCAATGGAAATAATTTACATCCATTTAATAATGATGATTTAATCAAATCCTATAATGAATAACAATAATAATTTTTCTTATAGAGATATTTTTTTTTCTAATATAAATAATTACCTCATTGTTAGCTAAATGTTGAATGCCTTTATGAGTATTTTCCAGAATTTTTTGACACCATTCGCATGTTGTTGATGAATCAATTTTTGTATGTTTTTCATCATAGCGCCAAACTGTATCAGTACAATGATGTAGTGCACCACAATCTTGTGCAGTTTCAAATGATTTACACCAATATTCAGGACCAACAGCACATTCTTGTTTATATGCAAATGATAAAGTAATGAAATAAGCTAAAAATATTTCAGAGATAAATTTTCATTTTTGTATGTAACAAATAAAAATATTTACCAATTAAATAAGTGACTAAGACGGCTTTCGCCATGATGTCACAGAGTATAATCAAAATAGAAAAGAAACGTGAATATTTATCTGAAATAAATTAAATAAACTAGACTTTACTTGATGACTAATTTATTTTAAACAAATTATAATTCATTGATAAATATAAATTAAAATAATTTATACACCTGAATATATAAATAAAATAATGCATCATTTTTACAGTACCTGAAAATGAGTCTTTTTATGATATGTTATCTAATATGAATGATACTATAAAGAGATATGAGATATTAAGGTGAAGAATTGCATTTATTTGTATGTTATCTGTACGATGAAAAAGAATGTAACAATGATAAGACGATAACGCTTACAATGATATCTAACTATTTTTATGCAAGGTTCTTTTTACATGATTTTGTCATGGTTGAAAGAGCAATATTGTTTATTGATGGCGAAAAGTGATGACTAATAGGGAAAGAAAAACAAGTAGTGACTTTAAAAGACAATAGAAAAAGTATACTTCTTTTATTTCAACTATTGATTTTTTTGATCTATGTCTATCCAATCGTTCGAACTTTGATCCTCAGAAAAACAAAAAAAGTTTTTTTTTAAAAGAGTAACGCAATAAGAAGAAATCAATCATCATGAAAAAAAAACCTACAATAGCAAAGTGCATCGATATTGTAGTGATGATTAGCAGCTGCTAGGCGTAAAAAAAAGAGATGAGTCATTTATTGAAAATAATATTAAAGGTAGGTGAGTAAGTAAAATTTGCTAACTTGAATAATAATTTCTTCTGTTTCAAATATTCACTCATGTGATAAAGCCCAAAAATGAATCGTCGTATAAAATAGAGCTCGCTAATGTATAGATGTTTTGAGAAACATCGAGATTTTTTTAATATATATGTATTCACAATCTGTTTGATAGAACATTTAAAATATCAGATTTCTAAACAAAAAAAAAGAAATTTGTTCATTAAAGGAATAAATCGATTTTTGAATTTAAATAAGATTTGACTTTCGATCTTAGTTATTTGTTTGCTAAAAGAAAAAATAATCAAATAAATCTTATATCGCACTACCATGTCCATCTGTCGATAGTAGAGTGTAACTATGCGTATTTTTTGCATCTGTTTAATTTTTGTTTTTTTTAGTGTATATAAAAAGTCGCAGAAGAATAGACGAGAATACTTGGCTATATAATGTAAAAGAACGAGAATGCTACCGACGGAAAAAAAAAAAGAAAGGGCGTTGCATTTTTCATGGTTGATTGACTCATATAGGACAAGTAATATGTGTTCTTTATAGGAAAGTAAAATTGCTCAGTTTTTAATGAAAAATAAATCATCCGTCATTAAATCATGTGAAATAAGTTGAAGCTGATGTCAGTTAAACCTAAGTACATAAGTTCATGATCTAATTTTATTGTTTTTCTATATAGTACAGTGAATTCTCAGTTGTTGATGAAGTATTTTCAAGAAATTTTAAATGGTTTTTTTCTATATCTGTTATTTTTGATATGTTTGAAGTAGTATATTATAGAAAACTATTTTATATATAACAAAATCTATATTGTTTTTTGGTTCAACAGAGTAGATTTTTACAAAGAATGATATATTTCAATGTATGTTCGGATAGTGAAATTTTACATTGTTTCTTATACAAATTAATATTGATTCAATTTTTTTTAAATTTTATAGAATGAGAAAATAGTATGTATTGTAAATGACAGGAAAATGAAACTTTTTCAAGATTTCAGTTTATATAATACGAGAGAGATTACTAGTAAAAATTAATCATTAGTATCTTTTTATTCTTTTTGAAAAAAAAAACAAATACTGTACAATTTTGTACAGATGGTTATAAACATGAATAAAATGTACTTGTTTGAACTTATACGTCTATAGAAAAACCTTAATGCATAGTATTTGTTATATTGTGTAGAATGTCAACAATCTGTGCCTACTTGTAACTGAAGCATTGTCTCTTTGTATTCTAGATATCGTATATTATTTATAAGATGAAATTAAATATTATAGTTTTGCAAAAATAATATAAAACAATTGTGTTTATATAGTGTCC